ACAGTATCCAGCGAGGGACAACCCCGCGAAGTGTTTATGATAAGTGCGGAGCAGGTGGCCAAAATGCTTGAAGACGCCTTAGCTAAGCAGCAGGAAACCTTCAGGTTCGAAATGCAGATGGCCATGCAAAACATGAGAGAAATGCATGACCAACAAATCCAAGCATTGACGAACCAGCAAGGCGAGCCAAGTCGTCGTAACCCGGTTAATCTGGAAGACGAGGATACGAATGAAGCTCGTAATACCAATAATCCTCCCGTCAATATAGGGGGTGGTAACGAGAATGCTAGCGAAAACACAGATGAAAGTCTGAAAATTAAAAATCTCGAGAGTAAAATCAATACATTGATTTCCGCTCAAGAGACGAAGAAAACAGGCATTCCTTGCCCATACCCAAGAGAATGGGAATCGATCCCATATCCGGCGAAGTTTAATCTAATTAACTTCATGCCGTTTAATGGGATGGGTTCACCTACCCAGCATTTGATTTACTTCAAATCGCAATTGGGAGTTATCTCTAGTAATGAACCTCTGATGGTGCGGTCATTCGTCGGCACTCTTCGCGGAGCCGCCTTCGATTGGTATCACCGCCTCAAGCCAGGCAGCGTAAATAGCTGGGACGACATGGAGACCAAGTTCCTTGCCAATTTCTTCAACGACGACACTGAGGTATCTATCGGATCGTTGCTCGATGAGAAGCAGAAGGACGGGGAATTAGTCGACACCTTTGTCAAAAGGTTCCGGAACAAGGCGATGAACTGTCGGGACCTAATCACTGAGGAATTCATCCTCCAGACTTGCCACAACAATCTCGCGCTGGACGTGTTGGAAGCAATGGGGACAGCACCGTCCAAGACATGGAAGGATCTGAAAGTCCGAGGAGAGCAAGCCGAGCGGTTCCTCAAAAGGAAGAAGGCAGAAAGAGGCCAACAGGCGAATAATGCTCCGCAACAGAATTTCGTCCCACGGGGGAAAGGTAAGGCACATGCTAATGCAGTTGATGCTAATCAAACTTTCCAATTGCAACCTCAGCAACAGGCACCACAATAATCTCGAGGGAAATGGCAACAACGGCCTCAGAAGCAGAAATCTGCGGAGCCGAGGTTTCCTAAAGTGTACTCCTTCAAGGATGACGAAGTTCCCGGCATCTTCAAATACCTGCTGGAGAACAACAAGATCCAGCTGCCGGCGATCGTGGATCAAGAAGGAGCAAACAAGGTGACGGATCCGAAGTATTGCGCATACCATAGAGCGGTCCATCACCCTACGAAGTCTTGCTATCACCTCAAGGACAAGATCCAGGCGCTAATTGATGTGGGTGTCATAACCCCGAAGCCTGCCAAGAATGTGGGAGCAAACGCAGTGTCAATCAGTTTTGGATCGGTGCCCACCACATGGTTTGAGCCGAAACGCGTCACCAAGGTGGGAATGAAGACGGTGAATGATAACCCACATGGACAGCGCCAAAAAGGGCTTGTGCCACATACAGCCCCAAACGGCGAAATCCTCTGGGTTC